GTTTTTGAATTTTTAACCGAGATCAAATCCAAACGACTAATACTAACTCATTAGTGTTTGCCTTGTTTCATTGTATTTGTTTTTAAAATCCTTCTAACATTATGTTTTTTATTTTTTATTTTAATATTTTGATGTAAAAATTAAATTTTAAAATATATAAAAATATATTATTTTTATATATTTTTATATCAAAAACACTTTAAAAAATAATTTTTACTATATTCTTAAATAAATTCTAATTTTTGTATGCCTGTTTGAGATCAAAATATGGTGAGAAATTATTAGTTTTTTTTATATATAATTTTTTTAAAAACTAAAAAGTAAAAATACATATATTTTTTTTATTTTCTTATAAATCTTACCAAAATAATCCACCGCGCATCACTGCACCTGAATCTAAGGCGCCGTGCTTTTAGTTTTGGCTCAAGAGTTTTCCAGAATTTTCAATTTTTTTTCTTCAGCGATTTCAAAATTTCACAGTATCTTTCTAAATAATATTTTTATAAAATAAAAGTTTATGGGCTGAACATGGGCTTGTAATACCAACCCATTTTATCCTGTTGGACTCAATAACGTAAAGCCTAAACAAAACCCTAATATATTTCTCATCATCAACGTCTCAGCTCCACTTTCACTGAAAAACCCTAGCTAGGAAGGCGCCTCTGCTGATCTCTCGCTGCTTTTGATTACGGTACTCAACCTATTCTTTCTTCTTCTTTTTATTTCCGATTTTTATCTCCACTCGTTCCGATCTGTCTCGTTAATATTTAAAGAAAAACATGGAGAAGAAAAGGAAATATTAAGAGATGGGGTTCCAGAGATTGATTTGGTTGTTTCTCGTATAGCTATTTAATGGGCTTTAATTTTTTTTTTCTGTAAGGTTTTAACTATAACTCTGTTTGCTGGGTGGCCAAAGATCAGTTTGTTATTTAAATCGATTTTATTGTTTTATAGTTCACTAGCTGTTTGTTGGCTTATAAACGCATATATCATGAACAACATTATCCAAAGGCAGAATATCCATTTTCGTTTGAATGTTTATTTGTTATTGTGCTCCATATTTTTGTGCATCCAAGACATCTGCTGCTAACAATATCTGCAATGTATGTGTGTTGCAGCAACAATGGTGCGAGTTAGTGTTTTGAATGATGCTCTGAAGAGCATGTACAATGCTGAGAAACGGGGGAAGCGTCAGGTCATGATCAGGCCCTCCTCAAAGGTGATCATCAAATTTCTGTTGGTGATGCAAAAGCATGGTAGGATGCCATTTTAACCTGCTTTCTACTTTTAATTGTCTGATTACTTCAAATCATAACGCATACTTTTTTTTGCCATCTGCTCTGCAGGATACATTGGTGAATTTGAGTTTGTGGATGATCACAGGGCTGGTAAAATTGTGGTTGAATTGAATGGAAGATTGAACAAATGTGGAGTAATTAGTCCTCGTTTTGATGTGGGTGTCAAGGAGATTGAAACTTGGACGGCAAGGTTGCTCCCTTCAAGACAGGTCAGTGCCAGAAAGAAAATTTCAATTTCATTTCACGGTTTGAAATTCTGCTTCTATTGTGAATAATGAGCTATTATAAACCCGTGAATGGGATGTGTGGTATAGTTAGATTGTCCTGTCCACCTTCAAGCAACCTCCTTGCAGCTTTGATTAAGTTTTACCATTGTCTATTTTGTCTCTGGGTTTTGTGGTTTTATTCATTTCCGTAAAATCGTTGCTCTTAGAAATACTTGTCCATATGAGTTCCATTACTGCAGTTTCTTTGGATGGAATAGCTTATGGCGTTTTGCATGACCTCTGCAATATTGGCTGATTCTTGCAGTTTGGATATATTGTCTTGACAACTTCTGCCGGCATTATGGACCATGAGGAGGCCAGAAGAAAGAATGTTGGTGGCAAAGTGCTTGGTTTCTTTTACTAGGCTGGGTTTAGCTGGATTGCCAAGGAGTGAGTTGTTCTTAAAATGTGAAGGTTTTTGCTGTACCCTGGAACTTTTTTTTACAGTAGGATTATTTCTATGCTTTGTTTGATCTCTGATCTCTTTTTGTTAGCGTTGGTGGTGGCTCTTTATCCACATTATTTGAAGACATTGATGTTTTTGTGGTTCCCATTTATCTGAAAGCAACTTGATTTTGGGCATCTAATGCTACGTTTCTTTCCAGGTTGAAATTACATTTACTGAAATCAAGTTACCATTCATTATTGAATTATATTCATTAACTAAAAACAGTCTCAGTATGTGATTAAGGCATTATAATTTGATTGTTGCAACCAAAACAACCAGATTGTGAAATTACATGTTTTTCCTAATGAGCTTATATATTATAATTATAACTATAATTATAATTATATAAAAAAAAAAAACTTAAATGGCAGCGGTGCTTTACTCTGCCTCCAGAAACAAAAGCGCAAGGGTGCTTTGCTTTACCCTGCCTCCAGAAACAAAAGCCCTAGCTCCTCTTGTGTTCATGCCCGCCCCTATTTAAAATCCCAGGCAGTCAGGCTAGAGGTCCATGGAGAACTACAGGTCCAGGGGCACTCTACTAAACGCCTCGTTGACTATGGGGTTTCACTCTTGTACAATGGAGCATACAAGTACATTGATTGTAAGCCACAAAAACGCTGCGAAACTGATTAGCAGATAGGTGCCCCGTGGATATTGAAAGTTATCTAGGGTAGCACTTGGTTATAGTCAGTCATCTAATAGAAGGAAAAAAAAAAAAGATTTGTGTTGAAATTCAATGATTCTAATTATAAAATTAAGATTGATTCTAATTATAAAATTAAGATTGATT